GAGAGGGTGTGGAGAAAAGGGAACCCTCTTACACTGTTGGTGGGAATGCAAATTAGTACAGCCACTATGGAAAACAGTGTGGAGATTTCTTAAAAAGCTGGAAATAGAACTGCCATATGACCCAGCAATCCCACTTCTGGGCATACACACCAAGGAAACCAGATCTGAAAGAGACATGTGCACCCCAATGTTCATCGCAGCACTGTTGATAATAGCCAAGACATGGAAGCAACCTAGATGCCCATCAGCAGACGAATGGATGAGGAAGCTGTGGTACATATACACCATGGAATATTACTCAGCCATTAAAAAGAATTCATTTGAATCAGTTCTAATGAGATGGATGAAACTGGAGCCCATTATACAGAGTGAAGTAAGCCAGAAAGATAAAGACCATTACAGTATACTAAACATATATATGGAATTTAGAAAGATGGTAATGATAACCCTATATGCAAAACAGAAAAAGAGACTCTGATGTATAGAACAGACTTGTGGACTCTGGGAGAAGGCGAGGGTGGGATGTTTCAAGAGAACAGCATCGAAACACGTATATTATCTAGGGTGAAACAGATCACCAGCCCAGGTTGGATGCATGAGACAAGTGCTCGGGCCTGGTGCACTGGAAAGACCCAGAGGGATCGGGTGGAGAGGGAGGTGGGAGGGGGGACCGGGATGGGGAATACATGTAGATCCATGGCTAATTCATTTCAATGTATGACAAAACCCACTGCAATGATGTAAAGTTATTAGCCTCCAACTAATAAAAATAAATGAAAAAAAAATAATAATAGTAATTCTATTCTCTATGGAAAGGTACACATGGATTTCAAATTCACTTTAAGGAAAGTTCTTTCTGACTATAAAATTTTTGGTAAGCAATTTTAAGACATATTTCTACAGACATGACAACATCCTAACCCACTAAAAAATTTTAACTTAACACATTTTTCTCTTTCATAAAGCTTTTTAAAAGCTCTTTCTTTTCTTCCCCCTAAAACCACAAAGAGCTCACTCATTTTATAATTTAGTAAAAATTTTTCTGTAACAAATAAGTGGAGGGAAAACAACCTATGCTTCAACTTGTGTAAACTCAATAATACAGTAATGCTTCTGATAAATGACAGCTGCTCTTATCTACCTCAAGAATGAATAAAACAGTGTGGATAAAATATTGAGAGCATAAATTGAAAAAAGAACTAAAATATAAATACATTTATACCTGCTATTATCTATAATCAAAATGTTCTTCAGAAATACAAGACCAAAATCATAATGAACTTTTAAATACTTGTATTTAACATGAACTTCCTTGATGACAATGGTATTAGAAAAACTAAGGACAGATTAATCTACCAGACCAGAAATATCATTATCTTAATCTGGGTTCATACGGATGCAAACCTTGAGACCAAGATTCAGTACAAGTAGCGTTAGAATGTAGGGAAGGCAACGTTGCCTAAATAGAGTACAGTATTAAAGGAGCTACCAAGGTGGGTAGCTGGACTTTAATTCCAAAGTAACCTCTGGGAAACAGTATAAAAAATAGAAAGGTGAAGGAGCCATAACACTTATATATCATCTCTCATCAGTTCTGGAGATAAGCTGCTAATTCCTAGGTACTTTTAGAGGACCAGGCAAGAGCGCAATGCCTTCCAGGATTCTAAGAAAAGCTTTCAAGCATCAGATACAAATACTGGCTGTTGGAGGTCATTCAGAAAACAATAAAACAGTAAAGGTCAAAGAATGATGTAGGGAACTAACCAACAACTGTCACAACCCTTTCCACTGAAAGAAGACAGTTGATTCCTACTGTCAAACTCAGCTCAGGCTCTAGTCTTACATGATAACATGCCACTGTACAATCCCCACAAATACACCAAAATATTCTTTCAAGCTATCAGCACTTTTTCCCTTTGTATGAGATGATGAGAACCCATTCGCATTTATAAGTACCTACAACAAGCCTGGCATGTAGGAAGTATTATGAGGGAGAAAAAGTGAAGAGCAAAGTCAAATTACACATGTTTCTCGTATGCTGTCTATATATCTTAGAATACTGTTTATAAAAATTATACTTTTTATAGGTACTAGTTGATAATATAGGACATGAATCTGAATAATTGACTTTGAGAGTTAGTAAAGATGCTGAAGATCATTTAAGAAAAAAGAACATATAAAACATAGCCTGATTTGAATCCCAATTACATTATTCAATTGTTTCATCACCACAGGGAAGTCACTTAAACTCTGAGCCACTGCTGCTTCTTGTGTGAAAGGTAATCATACTAACTACAACCAGTGGTTTTATAATGATCAAATATAATATGGATGGTAATGGCTTTTAAATGGAAAAGCATTTGCAAAGGAAGTTGTGCTGCATGCAGAGACCTTTGTACTGGACTGGCATAAAGTCAAAAAGGCAGAATTTGAGGGAGTGACCCCAAATGTATAAACTGTTGGACAGTGAATAGCAGTAAAAGTGTTATGCTGTAGAAATACTTAAAATATGGAGGATGTAAACATTATGGATTCAAAGGTTTCTGTCCAGTAGCACGAGATTCCTGCAGCAGGTCTAATTCATGGGAAAAATGGGAGGTCAGGTACAATACAAATGGTTGGGTTCCTATAAAGGCAGTAATGACCAGGATGAAAGCTTGGCCTCACTGACAATAATATGTTTCAATCCCTTTGCAGCATGGTGTTCAGTATCCTGAGACCCATTCTGGCAATCCTCACTAAACTTGCCTGATAGTTGGACCTGACTATTCAAAGTTTAATTCAGAAAAATTTTAAATTAGGTGAAACTGTTTACATTGAAGTTATTCAGAACCAGCTTTAAGGTAAAATGATTAGAATAGATTATTATCATTTAAAGAAGGGAAATTAGCATTTACCATATATCTTCTACATACTAGTCAATAGGAGAGTCACTTGCTGTACATAATCTTTAAATTCTCAAAACACAACAGGTTAATTATGCATATGTACATTTTATTATATCTATATTTTAGTAAAGAAAATAGACTCAGTGGTTAAATAGGTCACCTAAATAACAGAGGAGGTTACACCAAAATCTGTTCTAAGTCCTCTGTTATCTTTCATGAAACACTAGTTGTTTGAGCTTGTTTTATTAATGTTTTATTAATGTTGCCCATGCAATGGGCAACAACAGGTCCCTTGTTAAAAGCAATTTTCTCACTTAAGTTCCCCTTGGGATCATTTATACAATTTCATACAATGTATATTAAGTAATATAGCACAAACTGCAGAATCTTCCTTAATCCTCTCTTCCCATAAAGCTACTCAAATAAGTTCTAAAAACTCAGAGTGAAACAAGTTTAGTTTGCTCCCAAATATGATATGAGGAGGTGCTAAGAGGAAAGAATTAAGCAAAAGATCCTCAGATAGACTACTTGCTTCCATTAAAATTACTTTGCAAGAAAAAGCAGCAAAAATTAAAGTCCCAATGATAATAGATTTGAAAACATAATAAATAAGAGGATAGTGATGAAAGTAATATTAAGGGAGTAGGAGAGCATGGCTACAAATTTCTCCTAAAAGGAAAAGATGGATAATGATGCTTTCAATGGTGGCGGCAATAGTGGAAACATTTACTGTGTGCTTATTAAGCATTAAGCAATCCATCAAGCTCCATAAATGCACTAATTTAACACTCACAAAAGTTAAAGACCAAAAAAAACAGTTAAAGACCATTATTTTTCCCTTAAAGAAGGGATGAAAACAAAAAGGTAAGTCACCTGCTCGGGTTCTCAAAACTAACAAGTAGATGAGCCAGTTTTCAAATCAGGTCTATCTACTTCAGAACCTAAAAATTCCTAAGCATTACTTAGACTGTCTAAATAGCAGACCAGTTGACAATCTCACTGTAAGCTCTGTACAGGCAATCAAATCTTTCATTCACTATATGAGCTTCCCAGTCTCCTACCTACTTCCCAATGAGGTGCGCATAGCCAACTGGCATACTAAGCAAAAGACGGAAGCGTTTCAAGAGTGAAAATACAGCATAAAATGTTTCTACTAAAAATCATCAGTATCTATAAATTTACTGTATAAAATTTATTTTCTAAAATATCAAATCTGAAATTGCAAATTACTTGATTATGAAATGGTACTGCAATTAAACTGAAGGAAAAATTACTAAACTACTCAAAATCTGATAGTTTTGCAATTAACGGAGTTTGTAATCACATGCAGTGAGAATTAAAGTGATAGTTATTTAAAGTAGGATTAAGACATATTACATTTCCAGGAGGAGTAGTTAATACATTAGTTTATTAGTTAATGAATATATAGATGAGTGTGTGTTTTCAGCCTTTCACATCTGACCTAGTTGCAAACTGAAGTAAAGGAAAAAGATTTTTATGTTCTATTTGCAATTATAAAACTGTTTGTATAAATAATTTACCTACACATTTTATATTACATCATATATGCCTTTAAATCATCCTTAATTTGAAACAAAAAATAATCTTATTTAAAGGAATTTCAATTCTTATTTTTTTAGAAAATTACATGTAGGCTATGGCCTCTCTTGCTATTAAAAAAATGCATGCATTCATTATGTGAAGACTGTTAACGGACACACAAAACAGGAAGGATGCAACTTTTTAAAATAATAAATACTACCCATAATAAATGGGTAACTAAACTACCACATAAGAATTGAAATAAATAAATAAATGTCAAGGGAAAAAAACCCTATAGGCTATAAGGATCCATAACAACGCTGAAATTAGGAATGCAATCAATGTATTATTTTTCAAAATAAATACTGAATATAGTCTAAATATAGCCCCCAAAAATCCAAAAAAGGTAAACTGCTTTTAATCAATAAACCATACATACACAAAAAAGTCAATTCCAATAAAATAAACATTGATTTATCTTCTTTCCTAGATTCTTTGTATTTCAGCTGACTTTCTTCCTAAGTCACAAAAAGCGTCCTTTAGCAAGGATACTTAGGCACTTGTACTGACCGGCTCAGAGTCAAAGCAATAATCATCCCAGCTCTGTCTGAGGGGTTTCTTTGTTATCTGAAAGTAAGGCAGATTAGTTAGGTAGAAGTAATGATTATTACATTCTTCTAATGATCTCTTAGATGTAGTGTTCAGGTAGCACCGCTGTTACCCAAAGAAAAGTTATTTCATATAGCAGCCCAAAACAACTAGAGAAACATTCAGATTCTGGGATTCATATATTATTATAACCAATCCATATTTGCTATTGTTCAGTTACTCTGAAATTTCTAATAACTGTTGAGTCCCATAGTCTCCAAATACTGACCTTAAGAATATGTATAGTATGGCCAGTAATTACAAAAAGATCTGGAAGAGGTGCAAAAAACTCCAGATTTCTCTAGTATTAACTTTAGAGGCTTTCCCAGGTGGCAACAGCGCTAAAGAACTTGCCTACCAATGCAGGAGATGCAAGATTCCTGATTTGGGAAGACTCCCTGAAGAAGGAAATGGCAAACCACTCCAGGATTGTAGCCTGGGAAATTCCATGGACAGAGGAGCCTGGTGGGCTACAGCCTGTGGGGCAGCAAAGATTCGGACATGCTACACACATGCACATCAGCTCATTTCATCAGCAGTTGCTACTTTTTCAAAAGGAAAAATATTTTAGCACCCAAATATAAGGCAAACAGTTTAAGCAGGGAAGGCGGAAAACTCGAAAGCTAAATCAATGATTTTTTTAATATACTTAATTCAATACAGTAAAAATTCCTCATATTACACCAAGAAGTTATATTTTAAATAATTTTTAAATTCTCAATATAGTAACAGAATGTTAGCTTATATAAATGTGGTTTCAAAATTATGAAATATCAGTTATACAGCCTGCTCTATATCTTACAAAGTGTGAGATGTTACTTTCAAAGCCCTAAATACATACTACAATCTTTGAGCCACCATCCAAGTGTCAATTTAATATCCCTCAGAAGAACTTTTAAAATTACCATAAGGGAATTTCTTTCCATAGACATTACATCTTGCCTCAAACAATTAAAAATGAGGGGAGACAATCTGTTACCTAAAAGATGTACTGTCAGATCAATTTCATTATTACTGATCTTAGAATTTTTGTTAATATGAGAAATAAAATTGAGAAAACCAATGCAATGAAAAGTTGTGACAATTATGCTTTATAATGGAAGTTTAGGGGAGAATTTTTGAGTTTGAAGGTAAAACACAAATTCTCTAAGTCATTTCCTTTAATGAATTTTCACACTGAGTATTTAATAGGATAATCACTAAATTATAAAAATAATCATACTCATGATGCAAAGAGGTATATATATATATATTAGACTTCAAAACATGCAAATACAAGTTTCAGTAATCCTTTGTTAGGGCAAGCATTAATCATTAGTAACACTTAACATGCTCTGGTGTGTAAAAGGTAAATCACTTTACTTATTGAAAAGTGCAAACCATTTTTCTAAATTAGAGGTATCTATAAAGAGTTTATTATTCTCTTAAAGAGTTTCACAAAAAAAAAAAGGCACATAGCTATCTTTTATGATTCATATAAGAATAAAAATAATTTTTAAATTTGAGAAGTACATCACATAAATTTTTAGATAGTGTACATGAAAATGCTAGTTAATATCCACTATCAACCAGGTTTCAGAAACAAAGTACTAGGGAAAAAAACTTCTCTCAAGAGCTAAAATTTAACAATGCCTTACATTTCAAAATGATATTCATGAACTCTCACCTGATTGAGATAATGATATTCTTCTGGTTGTTTAAGATGGAATGCTAATCTCTCTTCTTCACTTGCTCCTGCCAGAAGGTAATAGAATACATGATAGTTCCTGTTGGAAACAAAGAAGTATAATGAACATGGTCTATGGTTATCATTTAACAAGAAAAAGAAATTAATTTGTAAATTGTTTCAGCTTTGGTTCATTTTTTTAATACAAAGGTGATAAACTCAATATTGAAATACTACAGGGGAATTCTCTGGCAGTTTAGTAGTTAAGACTCAGTGCTTTCACTGCCGTGACCCAGGTTCAATCCCTGGTAGGTGAACTAAGATTACACAAGCCACAGGGACAGCCGAATAGTAAGCAGTACAAAATAAGATGATGTTCTGTATGCCGAATCAAAAGACAAAGGTGGATCAGCAATACACTAAAGACCTCCAAAAATTCTCTCCACAGGACCAATTAGAAAACTAGCAAACTTGTCAAAATCAACTCTAGAAATTAACCAAAAATGTACAGCAATCTAGAGAGTGTTTACACAAGAAAAAGAGCTGCATTTCAGTATAAACAGAACCTTGGTGGCCTTTTAACTTGCCCTATTCCATCTTCTGCTTACCAGTTACATGTAGTTTTCAATACCAACAGCTTACAACTGAGATGGACACCAGAAGTCTGGCAGCTTCCCGAAGAGGGCAGAACAGGGGTGAAGTTCATTAAGAACCTCATTCCCTGAAAAATATCATTATTTGAACTGTCTGGTAGTTCCATGGATGAAGTCATTTTCAAAACTATTGATATCTTTATTTGATGTGATTCAGAGTTATTACCCCAGTATGAAAATCTGTGTTCCAGAGACATTTGTAAGAAACAATTAGTGGCAATTTTTTTGAACATACTAGCTATCTGAACCCATGAATAAATATTAAGGCAAACAGTAAGCTAACCAAACAACTTGAAGAGAAATGCTGGGAAATGAGACATCCGCAGAGGTTTTAAAAAGTTCCAATATGTTCCTGGGAATCTAGAAGGCCTTATGCATACATAAAGTTGTGCCCATGCCCAGGGCTGCATGTCTACTCATCAAAGACAAGAGAAAATACTAAGCTCTCACCTATCACTTACTTTGAAGATCTGCACAAGCAGGAAGTAAAGACTAAGGCTGAACAATAAAATACCTGCCTAGGAGTTAAAAGTCATGGTCCCTGAAACAAACACTAGAAGACTTACTGTTACCAACCATTTATGGAACTCTGTTCAATCATTCCCTGGTGGCTCAGATGGTAAAGAATTTGCCTGCAAAGCAGGAGACCAAGGTTCAATCCCTGGGTCAGGAAGATCCCCTGGAGAAGGAAATGGCTAAGCACTCCAGCATTCTTGCTTGGAGAATTCCATGGACAGAGAGGCCTGGCAGGCTACAGCCCAAGGGATCACAAAGATTTGGACACGGCTGACTAACTACCACTGAGAAGCTAACCAAGGGCTTCCGTGGTGGCTGAGGGGTAAAGAATCTCCTGTCAATACAGGAAACGCAAATTTGATTCCTGGGTAGGGAAGATCCCCTGGAGAAGGAAATGGCCACCCACTCTAGTATTCTTGCCTGGGAAATCCCATGGACAGAGGAATCTGGCAAGTTACAGTCCATGGAGTCGCAGAAGAGGCACACACAACTTAGTGACTAAAAAACAACAAGTTAACCAAGCAAGTACTTAAATGGCTAAACTAAAAAAAAAATTACAGACTTCAAATTAGCTCAGAAAATTCACAAAACAGCAAGAACAAAATTAACAACCACAAATCCTGGGAGAGGGAGGAGCTCATATTTAGAGCTGCCAAATGATTATTTTAAAAGTCCAATTATTATTTTAAATGTTCAATTTTCAACAAAAAATTCGAGTCATACAAGGCAACCAGAAACTAACACATACAAAGGAGAAAAAACAATCAATAATAACTGTTCCTGGGGCAGTCTGGACATTAACTTACTAGATAGGACTTTTAATTAGCTGTTTTAAATACATTCAAAAAACTAGAGAAAACCATGTTTAAAGAACTTAAAGCATGAGAATGATGTCTCGTCAAATAGAAGCTATTGATGAATATACAGAAATTATAAAAAAAGAAATCAGAAAGTAATTCTAGGGTTGACAAATATAATAAAATGAAAACCCATCTAGAGGAGCTCAACAAAAGATTTGTAGGCAGAAGAAAGAATCAGTGGACTTGAAAAAAGGTCAGTTAAAGCTAGCTAGTCTGAGGAAGAGAAAGAAAAATTACCAGTCTCAGGGATTTGTGGGACACCATTAAACAGACACCAACAAATGCACAGTATGGAACACCAATTTATGCACAATGGGAGTGCCAAAAGCAGAAGAAAAGAGAAAGAATATTTGAAAAAAATAATGATCAAAGTCCCCCCATATTTGATGACAAACATTAATCTCTACATCTAAGAAACTTAATGAACTCCATGAGAGAAAAACTCAAGAGATCCACATCTGGACAAATTAAAACTACTGAAAGACAAAGACAAAATTTTCAGAGCACCATGAGAGAAATGCCTCATCAAGGGATCCTAATGTAAGATTACCACCTGATTTCTCATCACGAGCCATGGAAAGGAAAACAGATTCAAAGTACTAAAAGAAAAAACAATCAAGAATTATATATCCAGCAAAACTATCCTCCAAAAAAAAAAAAAGAAGAAATTAGGATATTCCCAGATAAGTCAAAACTAAATACTTCACAGCTAACAGATGGACCCCATAAAAAATGCTAAAAGGAGCTTTTATGGCTGAAATTAAAGAAGACAAGATTCAATTAAGCATGAAGAAATAAATAGCATCAGTAATAGTAACTACATAGATAAATATTATAAAAGATAGTATAAGTGTCTGTGTTGGCTTTTTCCCCTCCAACTAGACATTGGCAAAAAGCAACAATTATAAATCTATACTGATGAGTCTACTATTATAAACATTTGTACAACAAAACAACACAAAGTATAGAGGAAGTAACATAGGATAATGCTTAATGAACCTTTATTATATAAAAGGACTACACTAAGCATTTCATAAACATTATTTCATTTAATCTTCTAAACGACTAAAGGATAGTTTTCCATCTACAAAATAAGAAAAAGTATCTAAGAAGCAGAGAAGTTAGGTGAGATGCCAAACAGATATCCAATACTTAAATGTAGGCTTGTTTAACTTCAAAGTCTGGCTCTTCATTTTGTCTCATTGTAACATGAAGCAAATCATTTACCTCTCTTATATTTGGCTTCCTCATCTAAAGGAAGTTACATATATATAATCTTTGAAATTCCATATACCTCAAAGATTATAATAAAGTTAAGAGCTTTATAAAAAACTTTTCTCAAATTAGAGAAAGAACACTAAGACACAGCAAAACATCCAAAGACAAAACAAAAGACATCACCTAAGACACCACTATTTTCCTGTTCTGATAGTCTTCCTAGAATTTAGAAAAGACCACAGTTCGATATAGTCATTAAAAATATCTCACAGCATCTTCAAAAGTATTCTTCCCATGACAGAAATAGCAATTATATGTAAAGCTATGCATGGTATAAACTGAATTAAAAGTCACAATACACAAAGATCTGAAAAGTCAATCTGCATGACACAAGTGTTACACTCAATTTAATTATTATCTCAATTATACAAATTAAAATATGTACCGTTCATTATGCTCTTGATAAACGAGTCTAGACTTCTCCAGTAGATACTTTTCAACATAGGCACTAGAATAAAAATAGAATTGGTTGATATAAGTAATAAAAGCCTAATGTAAGATAGACAAATATTTTATTAGAAAAGATGCAAAAGTCTAAAGAATACTATTCAAAGTACATTTTCCACTATTACTGGTGGTACAGTGGTGAGCATAGCTGCCTTCCAGAGGATATTTACCATTATAATTGTGTTATGGACATTGTTAGGGTTATCCATGTTAAATTCATAAATTCCTTTTTTTTAATTTTAACTTTCCATAAAGCAAAATAAAGTCAGGAGTTCAAAACATGGCACTCAAGACCCTACAATGACACAGACTTTACTTTCTTCCCAGGCTCAATACCACAGTACATTCTTTCAAATATTATACTTTGGCTAAGCTACTAAATAAGGCTCAAAGCTATACTTCCTTTACATATCCATGCTGTTGCCACATCCTGGAATAAATGTGTTTATAGCTTGCCAATTTCCTCAGTAAGCACTCATTAATTGGGCACTGTGTAAGCACTGTTCAGATACAGAAATAAGTGATACACTACCTGTTTTCAAATGATATACTACCTGTTTTCAAGGGGCTTACAAACTAGTGGAGAAAACAGGCAAACTAACAGCTATCATATGGAGCTGACAGGATTTAATATAGAGCAACGACCAGAATATTATAAATGTAAAAAGAGAGATATGATTCAATTCAAGAAGGAAAAAGGACGTAAGGAAGAACTCTCATAGAGAATGAGTACACAGTACTTATTAATATGGATATAAAAACCATAAATAAAAACTAGCACACAACACAACAACCAGTTTACATATGTATGTATAAAAATATGTCTGTATGTGTACGTCTGTGGGTGTTTGTGTCTTTGTATTGATCAAATGAGAATCTTTTCTCAGGAATGCAAAATGATCCAATATTGGGAAAATAATGATAATATTAATAAATTCAAGAGTGAAGATCAGACTAATTTCCACAGATACCAAAAAGGCCTTAATAAAATTCAATATCCATTACTGACAAAAATACCCAAAGAAAACTAAAATCAATGCTTAATTTATTAACATGATAAAATGTCCCAAAGCCAATATTCTACCTAGTGAAGAAAAGTAAAGGCATTCACACAAGTATCTAGAACAATATTATCATAGTTTAGGAGGTATGTAATCAAACAAGATAGAAAATAATCAGAGATATAAGAACAGAAAAAAAAGTTAAACTATTTTAGCAGATAATATAATAAACCTAGAAGTGGTAAGAGAAACAGCCAACAGTAAAACTAATACAAACAATAATTCAGCAAGATAGTAAGATATAAAATTAATATAAAAATCAACAGAAGTAATTGGGGGCTTCCCTGAGCCTCTGATGGTAAAGAATCTGCCTGCAGTGCAGGAGATCTAGGTTCAATTCCTGGGTCAGGAAGATCCCCTGGAGAAGGGAATAACTACCCACTCCAGTATTCTTGCCTGGAGAATTCGATGGACAGGGGAGCCTGGGAGGTTACAGTTGATGGGGTCACAAAGAGTTGGACACAACTGAGCAACTAACACATACAAGTAATGTGCAATTTTAGAAGATATAATGTAAGAGAAAAATCACACTTTTAATAAAATGAAACATTAAAAATATTTAGGAATAAGCCAAATAAGAAATATAAAAAACTAAAAAACATATCTAAAAACCATAAAGATATTTATTACTCCAAAATTTATTAATCCAATAAAACCAAGCCATGAAAGACATGGAAGATTCTTCAATAAATATTGCTAAGGAAGAAAGAATGCAATCTGTAAAGATGATATGCTATATAATTTCCAATTATGTGACACTCTGGAAAAGGCAAACCTACTAAAACAGTGAAAAGATCGGCGGCTGCTAAAGGTTAGTGGGTGGGAAGGGATGAACACGTGGGGCACAGAGAATTTTTAGGGCAGTCAAACTATACATTTATCAAAGCCCATTCAATGAACAACACAAATGGAATATACTAATAAAGATATTATCAACAGAGGAAACTAGGGGATAGCATGAAGAGGCGTAAGGGAACACTCCCTACTTTCTATTCATTTTTGTCACTAATCTAGAACTGTTCTAAAAAATAGTCTATTAATTTTTTAAAAGCTATAAAGATATTGCTGGCACAACCAGAGGACTCTGATCACAGACTGTAATAGCAAAAATTATAACTATGACAAAATTAAATACCCTGAGTATATTATATATATATATAATATAAAATATATACAGTATATATATAATATATAAAATGTCATTATGGCTGCTTTAGGAAATTATTTATTTATTTATTGAAATTAGTAATTATTTCAAGGGGTCAAGTTATGTACCCAACTTACTCAAAGACAATTTTTTTAAATGAATATATGCATAACAAAGAAAGATAAAGCAAATGCATATAGTTGTTAACAATTTATAAATCTAAGTAAGGGTGGATGGATGTTACACTAGTCTTAGATCTTTGCTCATGTTTGAACTTTTCCAAAAGAAAAAAGTAATTGAGAAAACAAATTTAATACTAATGTCACTATTTTCATTAAAGAGCAAACAAAAAACCTATGAGTTATAAAGGGGCAACGGCAAACATTTAAACATCTCCAAAGCCTGATACTGCTACTTACCCAAGTACAGTGCCTGTTTCTTGGTAATTTACTTGAATAAACTTGCCAAAACGACTTGAATTGTTATTATGAGCTGTCTTTGCATTTCCAAAGGCCTGTCAAAATAAATAGTTCTCATTAATTCTATTGTTTAAAAATGGAAAATCCTTAGATCACCTCAACGAGAAAAAAGTGCTAAAGAGATACTAGAAAAGCAATTCACTTATAGCTTCAGGCTCTCATACTTCAGGTAAAGTAAGTAATATCTGCAATAAAGTCAAGTAGATTGCATTTTATGCTACTGAGTAAAATAAATCTTAATTGTAGAAACTTATTGCTCATTACAAATCAGATTTCACTTTCATATTCCAATGCCAGCAAATTTTTTTAATACATTTATATATATTTAAGACATATATACATTTCAAAATCTTGCTAAACTGAAATAACAGCCTAGGAAAAGAATAATTACATCAAAACAATTATAATTTAGAATAGTATAAAAGAAATAAAGTTTCATCATGAAATATACTATACTGTATTTTGCCTATTTAAAACAAAACTACAGTACTATTCTATATAGAATAAAAAAATATATAAGCTTCCTAAGTTATAACCCAAAGTATACACCATGCAATGAAATATTACCTAGCAATAAAGATGAAACTACTGGGACAGATGTCAACAGTGATAAATATTAAACGTTATGCTATGAAACCACACACAAGAGTACATATTATAACATGAAATTCTAGAAAAGGCAAAACAAGAGTAACAAGTAGCAGATTAGAAGCTGTCTGGGAATAGGGTAGGAGCAGAAAATGTCTAAAAAAGGGACACAAGGGGTAATGAAAATATTCTATAACTTGATTCTATGATGGTGGTTACCTGGCATAAGCATTTATCAGAAATCACTAAACCATACATTTTAAGTGGCTATATATTATTTCAAGCTATATCTCAATAAAATTGAAATTTAAGAACCCACAGTTGAACTCACATATTCAACAACTTAAATGAAATCTTCAATACATACTGCTGAATGAAAGAAGGCAGTCTTAAAACATTACATACTGTATGTTTTCATTAATATGACATTTAAAAAGGAAGGAAGGAAGAACAAACAAATTGTCTCCGCAAGTTAATGGGAGTATGGAAGGACAGAGAGCATGAAAATAAGGAAAAGCATCAGGGAGTTTTACAGGGACGGTGGAACTACTCTGCACAGACACTGCATACAGATGGTCACACAAACGAGTATGTTTTATCATTTACACAACTCTACTGTAAAGGTGTTTTTTATTTTAATCTCTACTTTTAAAAGGAAACATTAAAAAACAAAGGCAAATAAAAGACAATTTCAGATATACAAATGTGAAAATATTCATCCTAAGTGAACCCACACTAACAGAAACAAAGGAAACTCTTCACACAGAAGGAAAATGACACCATGTTCAAATACGGATCCATGTAAGGAATGAAAACAGCAGAAAGAGTAACCACACAAGTAAATATATAAAATACATTTTATTACTTAGATCTCTTGAAAAGATTACTAAGGATGAGATCAGAGAAAATGGTAAAGGTCTCTGAAATCCTTCTCCCCTTCATAAAAGAACAAAAATTGTCAAAATCAACTTTTTGATGATTCTAGAAGTTAATGAAAGGCTTAGAGTAATCCCTTGTAAGAAGACTATTTAATCAAGGAAAACAGCTGGATTTCAGTAAGAAAAGCAAGCACTGATGGCATTTTAACTTAGCTGATTACCAATTCCCTCTCCCTAGCTCCATGATGAAAAGAAAACCAACACCATACAATTACAGTTTTTTCAAAAAGCAGTCTCACCTAGAAGCCACTGGAAAGATCAGACTAAAGTCAAAGCCCTGTCCCATATATAATCATCACAATTTGACCTATTTGGCACTTTCCTAGAAAATCTCATTCAAAGGGCTATCTTTATTTGACCTAACAAGAAGTCATCACTCACTGAGAGCAGCCTTTTTCCCACTAAAAGTAGATTGCCATATGATCCACCAATCCCACTGTTCAGCATATATCAGGAGAAAAATCTAATTTGAAAAGATACATGCACCCCTGTATTCACAGTAGCACTATTTACAAGAGCCAAGACCTGGAAACAACCCAAACATCTATGGGCAGATGAAGGGATAAAGATGTGGCATCTGTATGCAAATCAAGAAGAAATGGTTAGAACCAGACACGGAACAACGGACTGATTATAAATTGGGAAAGGAACACGTCAAAGCTGTGTACTGTCACCCTGCTTATTTAACTTATATGCAGAGTACATCATGCGAAATGCAGGGCTGGATGAAGCACAAGCTGGAATCAAGATTGCTGGGAGAGATATCAATACCCACAGCTATGTGGAAAATATCACCCTTACAGCGGAAAGCAAAGAACTAAAGAGCTTCTTAATGAAAGTGAAAGAGGAGAGTGAAAAAGCTGGCTTAAAAAATGAAGATCATGGCATCCGGTCCTATCACTTCACAGCAAATAGACGGGGAAACAATGGAAACAGTGACAGACTTCATTTTCTTGGGCTCCAAAATCACTGCAGATGGTGACTGCAGCCATGAAATTAAAAGATGCTTGCTCCTTGGAAGAAAAGCCATGACCAACCTAGACAGCATATTAAAATGCAGAGACATTACTTAGATGACAAAGGTCCATCTAGTCAAGGCTATGGTTTTTCCAGTAGTCATGTATGGATGTGAGAGTTGGACCAAAAAGAAAATTGAGTGCCAAAGAATTGATGCTTTTGAGCTGTGGTACTGGAGAAGACTCCTGAGAGTCCCTTGGACTGCAAAGAGATCAAACGAGTCAATCATAAAGGAAATCAGTCCTGAATACTCATTGGAAGGACTATACTGAAGCTGAAACTTCAATACTTTGGCCAGCTGATGTGAAGAACTGACTCACTGGAAAAGACCCTGATGCTGGTAAAGACTGAAAACAGGAGGAGAAGGGGATGACAGAGGATGAGATGGTTGGATGGCATAACCAACTCAATGGACATGAGTTTGAGCAAGCTCCAAGAGTTGGTGATGGACAGGGAAGCCTTGTGTGCTGCAGTCCATGGGGTTGCAAAGAGTTGCACATGACTGGGTGACTGAACTGAATTGATATATACACAATGGAACAATACTCAGTCATAAAAAAGAATAAAATAATGCCTTCTGCAACAACACAGATGGATCTAGAGGTATTATACTAAGTAAAATCAAAAAAAGAAAGAAAAATACCATAGGTTATCATGCATATGTAGAATCTAAAATATGACACAAATAAACTTATTTATGAAACAAACAGGCTCACAGACATAGACAGAAAATATTTGGTTTCCAAACAGGAAAGGGGTTGGAGAGGGATTAATCTGGAATTTGAGCTTAGCAGATACACACTATTATGTGTAAAACAGATAAACAACCAGGTCTTACTGTATAACAAAGGGAAATAACTATATTCAGTTATCTTGTAATAATCTATAATGGAAAATGAAAAAGAGTATGTGTACGTATATGTGTGTGTATATATGTATCTAACTGAATCACTTTGTTGTACACAAGAAACTAAAACAACATTGCAAATCAACTATACTTCAATAAAAGAAAGAGAAGAAAAGGAAAAAGAAATGGTGAGAGCAGACATCTGTATCTTCTTTCTGATCAAAGCGTTACTATTAAGTATGCTTTTAACCTATATTTTTATAAATAGGTGTTCTTAATCAGACTGAGAAAGTTCCTTCTTTTGTTTGTTGAGAGTGTCTTTTTTTTGTCTGCTTGTTTTAATCATGAAAGGGTGTTGTTTTTGTCAAATGCTTTTACTGCTATCTATTCAGACAATGCTGTAGCTTTTGTCCTATAGTCTATTAATGTTTAACAATGCATTTATTTTTATGTTGTTTAACCAATCTTTCATTCCTTAATATAAATCCTACTTTATCATAATGTATACTTCTTTTATATTTTGCTGAATTAAGTTTGCTAGTATTTCCTTAAGAATTTCTCTGTTTCAAGGGATATTGGTCTGTAGTTTTCTTATGCTGTGGTGTCTTTGTCTAATTTTAGTATCAGTGAAATATTTTGGACCTTGTAAAATTAGAAACTTTTCCTCCCTCCTGTTCCATTTCTTGGAAGAATTCTGAAGGATTTGTGTTAACTCTTCTTTAAATGTTTGGTAGAATATATTAGTGAATCCATCTGGTCCTGGGCATGATTTTTTCTTAAGCTTTTCACTGCTAAGAAACAGACTCACAGACATAGAAAACAAACTTATGGTTACCCAAGGGAAAAGGGGGTGAAAGAGGGACAAATTAGGACTTTGGGGTTAGCAGATACACAGTACTATACATAAAACAGATAAACAACAAGGTCCTACAGTATAATCATATTAGATGATTATAATATGAATATAATATTATATATTATTTGTAATTATATATGAAGAGTCATATTCAATATCCTGTAATAAACCATAATGGAAAAGAATGCGAACAAGAGTGCGTGTGCACGCATGTGCATGCATGCTCAGCTGCTCAGTCGTGTCTGGCTCTGTGCGACCCCATGGAACCCGCCAGGCTCCTCTGTCCATGGGATTCTCCAAGCAAGAATACTGGAGCAGGTTGCCATGCCTCCTCAGGGGATCTTCCCAACCCAGGGATTGAACCCAGGTCTCCAGCATCACAGGTGGATTCTTTACCATCTGAGCCACCAGGGATATATATAACTGAATCACTTTCCAGTATACCAGAAACTAACACAACACTGTAAATCAACTTACTTCATTATGAAAACTTTAAAATTTAAATTCTAAAAAAGAGAGGGTTAAAATCTGGGAGAAGATGTGTATATATTTTCAGAACACATGTTTGATAATGGATTTGCACCCAGTATACACAAAGAACTCTCAAAACACAACAATAACAAGTTGGGCAATAGATTTTGACAGACACTTGACCAAAGAAGATATATAAGTGGCAAATAAACACATGAAAAGGTGTTCACATCATGAATGTATTATAGAATACATATTAAAATCATGAGATACCACTGTATACCTATTTGAAGGCTAAAATTAGAAAGGATGACTATATCAAAAGTTAGCAAGGATATGGAGTAACACAAACTATATACACTGCTTGGTGGGAATGTAAAGTAGTATGTACAATTTATACGTAAGTTTTCGATCCCTGGGTCAGGACCATTCCCTGGAGAAGGAAATGGCAACCCGTTCCAACATTCTTGCCTGGGAAATTCATGGACAGAGGAGCCCAGTGGGCTACACAGTCCATGGGGTGGCAAAATGGTCAGACATGACTTAGTGACTAAAATACATAAACACACATAATATGAACCAGTCATTCCACTCCTAGCCATTTACCCAAGAAAAAAAAAAACAGATTATGTCCACACAAAAACATAGTATTTTATGTATAATAACCAAAAACTGGAAACAACCTACATATTCATCAAAAGATGAATGAAAAAACAAAGTGTGGTAAATCCATACAATGGAATATGGAATACTGTCTTAGCAAAAGGGATTATTGACACATACAAAAAATAATTACACCATGTAAGAGAAGTCAAACATAAAATAGCACATACTACATGATCCCATTTATACAGAATTGTAAAATGTACCAACTAACCTACAATGACAGAAAGCACATAAGAGGTTTCTTGACGACGAGAGGAGCAGGAGGAGTGAGAAAGAGGCATGGCAAAAGGATATGAGAAAATTTTAGGGATAATGGGTATGTTTAGTATCTTAATTGTGCTGGTGGTTTAATGGGTATACACATATGTCACATTTATCAAAGTGTACACTTTAAATCTGTGCAATTACATCTCACAAAAAGTCTTTCAAAACAAGTAATATTAACTCTCCTTTAAGCTCTAAAACAAAAATAGTATAGTCTGTTTCCTCTCTACCCTGGATGGTATTACTTAATAAAACGTAATTAAAAAACTTTTCCCATATTCTCCACATTTTCAAAGATGAACCCTTAGAATTTCAATCCTGGGCACAGATTTTAAGCCTGCAAAGACAAAAATACATTGACAAGAATATTTTCCCCAAATACCTATTACCATAGTCAATTACAGACAGGAGTCCTGCTCCTGCTATCTCCCCTTACAAGGGGGTATATCTGACTCCAATTATCTCTTTCCTCTGCATCACTATGGCCCAAAGTTACTCTTTAAAAAAAATACTGCCACCGTTACATCTTTCAATCTTCCACACTGTCATTTTCACTTTCCTATCTTCCAGTTTTCCTTGGTAACTAAAAAATGATGTCTATATTTCCATTCGGTTTTATTTCATTTTCTCACATCTAACAAATTTTAATTTTTTTAAAGATATGTTTAAGAAAAATTATTTCTACACACTTACCTCAAGTACTGGTCCAGCGCCAAGAATAATTTGTTCCACTCCACTGGCAAATCCTTTCTGACTGAGGGCAGTAAGGTGATGAATAAGAAAGTTCGTGCTTTGTGTCTTTCCAGAACCGCTCTCTCCTGAAATAACGATGCACTGATTCTTTTTGCGCTGAAGCATGGCATGATAAGCTACATCAGCCACAGCATAAATGTGAGGCTCAAGTTTTCCCAATTGATGGTTATCATACATTTTGACATATTTGGGGTTATAAATAGGAAGAAATTTGAATGGGTTAATAGCTATTAGAATACTGCCAACATAGGTATAAATTTTTTCATGCTTAAAGCGATTTCGTAGGTTTTCTAAGAGAGTTTTCTCATTCAAATCAGGTAAGCTACATAAATCGTCAAAGTCCTTCTGTTGAGGCTGTGGAAGAAAACCCCGTTCCATCATCCTGCGACGTTCTTCTGTTACCCGTAGCCATGACTGAAGACTACCATAATGAATTGATCCATCGAGGTTTTTTTCTCTTAGAAGAAAACGGTAGTCCTCTCCACTCAGGCGATTTTCCAGAGCCATGCGGGGCCATAACATCATTCGCTGAACTGGACAGTCTGTTGGATTGAGTATCCATTCTTCTCCACCAAATTCTTTTACCTCTGCTAGAACATAACATTTTGTTTTGTCAAGATGAAGCTTGTTTATAAGTGAGTCAATCACCTCAGCAGCCGTGGAGTTTTTTCTGGCAGGAATCGGACAGTAGATTGTCCCTTCTGAAATTGTCCCAGGATATATGCGTAATGTATGTTCATTATCCTCAAAGCGTCGTCTTCCTCCATCATTTATATTCATATTGGATCCTGTCCCATCAGCATGGATGGTATGTGTTCAGGACTGCGCAAATCATTTTCATGGCAAGAAAACTGCAACAAAAAAGATGTGAAACATTAAGAAGTCATATTACACAAAAAAGAGGCTTAACAATTATGTTGATTATATCTTTCAGAACAAAAAAACCCAACTCTTCTTTTAGAATAGGAACAGTTCGTGAAAACAGTCTAACTGAGACCACAGTATTTCATATATTGTCCAAACCTGGACACTTTCTAAAGCAGCCAAAACTTTTTCAATTTTTTGTTACATTAATAATTCAAAACCCAAAAAGTAAAAATAATAATTAATTTGTCCTCTACTATCTCAAATGTTTCTGAGGTAGGTACCTGGGATCAAAATCAACGTTTTTTTTTCCATTTATTTTTATTAGTTGGAGGCTAATTACTTTACAATATTGTAGTGCTTTTTGTCATACATTGACATGGCTCAGCCATGGATTTACATGTATTCCCCATCCTGATCCCCCCTCCCACTTCCCTCTCTACCTGATCCCTCTGGGTCTTCCCAGTGCACCAGGCCCGAGCACTTGTCTCATGCATCCAACCTGGGCTGGTGATCTGTTTCACCCTAGATAATATACATGTTTCGATGCTGTTCTCTCGAAACATCCCACCCTCGCCTTCTCCCACAGAGTCCAAAAGTCTGTTCTGTACATCTATGTCTCTTTTTCTATTTTGCATATAGGGTTATCATTACCATCTTTCTAAATTCCATATGTATGTGTTAGTATACTGTAATGGTCTTTATCTTTCTGGCTTACTTCACTCTGTATAATGGGCTCAAAATCAACTTCTTTCTTTATATATGAAAAAGAGCATCACTGAAGACTGAATTAAGATGGACAAAACAATCACATAAATCTAATCACCATATATCCAAAAGCTCTTACAGATAAAGCAAAATCAAGAAAGAGTGTCACCAACAAAGCAAAAATCTGTGAAAGTAAAAACAGTAAAAAGATGAGATCAGATAAACAGAAATTAAACTAGATGGAGTTATAACCAAGAAAACAATGAGAGAATCCTTCAACTATACTAGATACTAACAAAATGCTCTCCATAGTAGTTCTATCAACTGACTATTGCAGTCACCTAGGAAAAGGTTGTGTTTCTCTGCCTCCTTACCAAAAGGTAGTCCTGTCAGACTGGAGTTTCTGCCAATATAAGAAATGTAAAAAGATATTTCATTACTTCAAATTGTATTTCCCTGATGACCACTGAGAAGGGGTAACACATTCTATCACTTGCCATTAGGGCTATGATTGTTTATTTAATTTCCCCTTTTTGTCTTCTCATTATTAATTTGAATGAGCTTTTTATATACCCTATGTATTCAATTTTCAGCTGGATGAATGACAAATATCTGCTACCATTCAGTAGCTTATCCTTCTATTTTGTTCATGTTGCCCTTTGTTGTACAGAAGTTATATTTTTGATAAATTTATCAATCCTTTACAGGTTACTATTTCTAATAAGCAACATTAGCAATTGCAATTAACTTTTATTATGGGTTTATTTGTACTAGTCATTTTTCAAAGCATTGTACATGAATTATTTACTTTAAAATTCACAAGCTGTCCCTGAGGGTTGTTTTTTAATCATCATCATTTTACAAAAGAAAAAACACAGAAATTTTATATAACTTGACCAAATGTGATAAAGTTGAGATTTGAAGCAGGCAGTCTGGCTCTAAAACCTATATACTATTATCTCCTGGTATAGTTTTTCTAAATCTTCCTTTATCCTAAGGATATAAAGTTATTATCCTATATTTTCTCCTAAAAGACCAAAATTTTACTTCTCTTATTTAAGTCTTTAATGCATACAGAACTTATTTTCATGTATGTTGTAAGACAGGGCTCAGAATTATTTTCAAATCAAACTCAGATTAGCCACTGGACCAGCACCACAATGAAGACTCTAATCTTTCCCCACTGACTCATAATGCTACCTCTGCCATGTGGCTAATTCCATATAAGTATCAATCTGTTCCGGGCTCTGTAATCTTTTTCACTAGTCTATTTACCAACAGTAAGCCTATCTTAATTAGTACAGCTTTATAATAAGCTTTGAAATCTGGAGGGCATATCACCTCAATTTGTTCCTCTTTAATGTTACTTTAACTATGTACCACCATAAAAAATTTAAATATCAGTGTATCAACTACAATGAAAAAACTTTTTGGCATTTTGATGGATTTTATAGATCAATATTGGAAAAAACTGGCATCCTACTGACTTCCCATTCATAAACACCATGTTGTTGTTTTTTATAATCACACTGTTTCGTTCACCAGCCCAGGTTGGGTGCATGAGACAAGTGCTCGGGCCTGGTGCACTGGGAAGACCCAGAGGGATTGGGTGGAGAGGGAGGTGGGAGGGGGGACCGGGATGGGGAATACATGTAAAAAAAATAAATAAATAAATATAATCACACTGTTTCACTCCTAAGGTTTATCTTATCTTCATATTCATCCAATCTTTTTTCAATTTAAATTTCGTAATTGTTTTAAGAGATACTACTTGCTTACTACCTCCTTAAACATCCTATATAACTGGATATTTTCCAGAATAATAGTTTAATGTCATCAGAGTGAACTGCACTTATGATTGTTGATTTTATTTCTTATTTTTCTCAGGATTAGATGACTTAAATTAGTTTGAGAATTTAGCTTTATAGGTACACTTTTTTTTTTCATTTATTTTTATTAGTTGGAGGCTAATTACTTTACATCATTGCAGTGGTTTTTGTCATACATTGAAATGAATTAGCCATGGATTTACATGTAGTCCCCATCCCAGTCCCCCCTCCCACCTCCCTCTCCACCCGATCCCTCTGGGTCTTCCCAGTGCACCAGGCCCGAGCACTTGTCTCATGCACCCAACCTGGGCTGCTGATCTGTTTCACCCTAGATAATATACGTGTTTCGATGCTGTTCTCTTGAAACATCCCACCCTCGCCTTCTCCCAGAGTCCACAAGTCTGTTCTATACATCAGAGTCTCTTTTTCTGTTTTGCATATAGGGTTATCGTTACCATCTTTCTAAATTCCATATATATGTGTTAGTATACTGTAATGGTCTTTATCTTTCTGGCTTACTTCGCTCTGTATAATGGGCTCCAGTTTCATCCATCTCATTAGAACTGATTCAAATGAATTCTTTTTAATGGCTGAGTAATATTCCATGGTGTATATGTACCACAGCTTCCTCATCCATTCGTCTGCTGATGGGCATCTAGGTTGCTTCCATGTCCTGGCTATTATCAACAGTGCTGCGATGAACATTGGGGTGCACATGTCTCTTTCAGATCTGGTTTCCTCGGTGTGTATGCCCAGAAGTGGGATTGCTGGGTCATATGGCAGTTCTATTTCCAGCTTTTTAAGAAATCTCCACACTGTTTTCCATAGTGGCTGTACTAATTTGCATTCCCACCAACAGTGTAAGAGGGTTCCCTTTTCTCCACACCCTCTCCAGCATTTATTGCTTGTAGACTTTTGGATAGCAGCCATCCTGACTGGTGTGTAATGGTACCTCATTGTGGTTTTGATTTGCATTTCTCTGATAATGAGTGATGTTGAGCATCTTTTCATGTGTTTGTTAGCCATCTGTATGTCTTCCTTGGAGAAATGTCTGTTCAGTTCTTTGGCCCATTTTTTGATTGGGTCATTTATTTTTCTGGAGTTGAGCTGGAGGAGTTGCTTGTATATTTTTGAGATTAATCCTTTGTCTGTTGCTTCGTTTGCTATTATTTTCTCCCAATCTGAGGGCTGTCTTTTCACCTTGCTTATAGTTTCGTTTGTTGTGCAAAAGCTTTTAAGTTTCATTAGGTCCCATTTGTTTATTTTTGCTTTTATTTCTAAAATTCTGGGATGTGGGTCATAGAGGATCCTGCTGTGATTTATGTCAGAGAGTGTTTTGCCTATGTTCTCCTCTAGGAGTTTTATAGTTTCCGGTCTTACATTTAGATCTTTAATCCATTTTGAGTTTATTTTTGTGTATGGTGTTAGAAAGTGTTCTAGTTTCATTCTTTTACAGGTGGTTGACCAGTTTTCCCAGCACCACTTGTTAAAGAGGTTGTCTTTTTTCCATTGTATATCCTTGCCTCCTTTGTCAAAGATAAGGTGACCATAGGTTCGTGGATTTATCTCTGGGCTTTCTATTCTGTTCCATTGATCTATATTTCTGTCTTTGTGCCAGTACCATACTGTCTTGATGACTGTGGCTTTGTAGTATAGTCTGAAGTCAGGCAGATTGATTCCTCCAGTTCCATTCTTCTTTCTCAGGATTACTTTGGCTATTCGAGGTTTTTTGTATTTCCATACAAACTGTGAAATTATTCATTCTAGTTCTGTGAAAAATACCGTTGGTAGTTTGATAGGGATTGCATTGAATCTATAGATTGCTTTGGGTAGTATAGCCATTTTGACAATATTGATTCTTCCAATCCATGAACACGGTATATTTCTCCATCTGTTTGTGTCCTCTTTGATTTCTTTCATCAGTGTTTTATAGTTTTCTATGTATAGGTCTTTTGTTTCTTTAGGTAGATATACTCCTAAGTATTTTATTCTTTTTGTTGCAATGGTGAATGGTATTGTTTCCTTAATTTCTCTTTCTGTTTTCTCATTGTTAGTGTATAGGAATGCAAGAGATTTCTGTGTGTTAATTTTATATCCTGCAACTTTACTGTATTCGTTGATTAGCTCTAGTAATTTTCTGGTAGAGTCTTTAGGATTTTCTATGTAGAGGATCATGTCATCTGCAAACAGCGAGAGTTTCACTTCTTCTTTTCCTATCTGGATTCCTTTTATTTCTTTTTCTGCTCTGATTGCTGTGGCCAAAACTTCCAAAACTATGTTGAATAGTAGTGGTGAGAGTGGACACCCTTGTCTTGTTCCTGATTTCAGGAGAAATGCTTTCAATTTTTCACCATTGAGGGTGATGCTTGCTGTGGGCTT